CAACTGGCCGGAGGCAAACCAGTTGGCTATTTACAAGCGTGGCCAAGGATCTGAACACGGGGCTACCGTGAAACAGATACAGTGGTCAGGGTGGGACTCGAATCCGAGAGCGGCGGATTACGAGTCTGACACTCTAACCACTCGGCCACACTGCCTCCACTAAGACAAACACGAGATAGACAGAAAGAAAGGCAGATAGAAAGACAAACGGACAGGCAGACGTAAAGACAGACAGACGCACAGACAGAATGGCCGGCAAGCGGGCACCTACCAGGTATGGGGTCCCTGAAGTGCTCTTTGAACCATCTGAACAAGCCATTCAACGTGGCGTGAACTCTTCCTCGGTACCTGAACCCATCGGGGGTGACACTGACATACTCTATCCGTGGTTTGACACGGGGAAGATACCCCAAGAAGAACTTCCCAGGGAATTCTTTAGTTGTGCTCATAAGGTAAGGGATCCTTTGTGGAGCCTTCCGTTTCTCCGCTTGCAGAATTTCTTCCAGTTTTGCCTTCACTCCGTCTACAGCTCTGTAGTTCTTGTGATTGAGAATCTCTCGCGCGAATGAAGCCATCGGCTGAACATGCCGCGCAATGATCTCGTCCAGATCTTCAAATTCCTATCATATCGAGAATGCTCACTTAGATTAAGTATGCAAGCAGACACTCGTTACTAGCGCTGCACGGCAGATTTGAAACAAGTCAGGGAAAGCTTTGCCGGGGGGTCTAGTACCGATAATAGGGAGCTTACGAATTGACGACTTCCCAGAGGACGACGACGTCTCAACATTAGAGGTAGTTTATGCGCATGCGTTACCGGATGTGGCATTATTTCGCGTGTCGTCTGGAAGGAGGCGACGACTTCAGAAGAGCTGTTCTGAAGTCATCTTCCCAGCAACACGTCGAAAGGTACGTTTTGTTCAGAATATTTGCTGAATCTAACGCTTAATACCAAAACACCTTCCAAATATACTAACGGGAGCTTTCCTGAAACAGTTTTTTTCCTGCTTCTTGAATGTTATTTACGTCATAGTTCTCATTTATCAAACAGGAAAGATGTCAAACGGCGAAAACAATGACCCAAGCCCTTCAAACGCACGGTAAGGGAATAAATAAAGGGAAATTGGTGTTTCAAGGTCAATTCACATACCAAGAGAGATAAACTGTAAAAGAAACTAGTCATCTTCATTCAAAGGTTTTAAGTTTTTATCCATTCATTGGCTATAAATCAGTTTTGAATAGTTATCAAATGCTCTTTAAACGCTTTCGAGTAGTCACAAGACGCAACACAAGCGATGCGAAGATTCAGTCAGATACACGGAAAGATTTTGTCAATTGAATACACGTTCCTAAGTTTGATATTCAAGTCCTTTAGAATAAACTGTCTTTGATTAGATATCGACTGCTATTTCAGGAACTCGGCGATGAAGTGGACAACACGATGTCTTGTTGGCAAAAGAGATTATGCTATCCGAACTGTGGAAATACAAATTAAGAAGTCGTGAAAGAGAAAATTGCCTCGACCGAATTGCCGAAGGCCTGAATCAGTTACAAGAGCCATTCTTCAATGTGTTACAAAAGTCCATCAAAGACAGACTAAGGTTACTGGAAAGAGACTTTAAGAGAAAGGATCAATTGGACGTCGACGTCCGCAGCTCGTAAGTTAAATCTGGCTCGTAAGTTAAATCTGGCACGCAATGGCAAACGGCGACGACAAAGTCGATGACGTCACATAAAGTCGTCGTCGAGGAAGAAGTCATCGATTCGTAAACTCCCCAATATCAATTTTAGACGACTTGAGAGCAAACCTCTCCCTAGCTAGGGTTCAGAGCTCTCGCTGGCTAGGGTTCAGAGCTCTCTCTTGCTAGGGTTCAGAGCTCTCGCTTGATAGGGTTCAGAGCTCTTGCCGGCTAGGGTTCAGAGCTCTCGCTGGCTAAGTTCAGATCTCTCCCTTGCTAGGGTTCAGAGCTCTCGCTGGCTAGGGTTCAGAGCTCTCCCTTGCTAGGGTTCAGAGCTCTCCCTTGCTAGGGTTCTCTCGA